GCCTCTTCCACAACCAAGGTTGATACCTTCCTCTCATCGCATCACGTACGATGCTCGTCCTATGTAGGCCAATGCTGCATTGCGGGCAGCCGCGTCTTTGTCCACGAAGACATTTACGATGACTTCCTCGCCAAGTCGGCGGCCGCGGCGGCCAAGAACGTCGTCGGTGACCCGTTCTGCGCCAAGACAACCCAAGGGTACGACGCCTCGAGCCGCAATTCTGCTATCAATCATTTCTGCACGTAGACCGCAGGTCAACGAAGAGCAGTTCCGCAAGATCCTCGCGTACATTGAGACGGGCAAGCGCGAGGGCGCGCGGCTCCTCACGGGCGGCAAGCGCCACGGCAAGAAGGGCTGGTTCATCGAGCCAACGGTCTTCGCAGACGTCGAGGACCACATGACGATCGCGAAGGAAGAGATCTTTGGGCCTGTCATGTGCATCCTCAAGTTTAAGGACGTCGACGATGTGATTGCGCGCGCCAATGCGTCCGAGTACGGCCTCGGCGCTGGCGTCGTCACCAAGGACATTGGCAACGTCATGAAGCTCACGAATGGTCTCCGCGCTGGCACGGTGTACGTCAACTGCTACGACGTCTTTGATGCAGCGGCGCCGTTTGGCGGCTTCAAGAACTCGGGTCTGGGCCGCGAGCTCGGCGAGGCGGGTCTCCGCCCGTACGTTGAAAACAAGACGGTCATCATCAAGCAGTAAGCTCTAGTGTTGTCACACTACGTTCCAATACATGTGTTGTCTGAAGATGCGTCGTCCGTGCGTCTTGGTATTACAATGGGGGTAGACTATGACGTGGCAGACGCTTCTTACGGCGCGATGAGCGCATACCCTTTCACGGACGGCGAGCGCATGTCGCGCTTGGCGAGGATCGTAATGCCGTAGATGGTCACGAAGACGCCAATCGGAAAGCAAATGGCTTGCGCCAGCGAGTAGCTCTTGAACTCTTCAAAGTACACGGCGCCGCCCAGCACGGAAAACGTGATGAAGAAACACTAGCACGTCCATTTGCATCCTCCTCTCGACCTCGATAGGGTATTACCGTAAAGACGGGCACGATGTAGAGCGCGTCAAAGTGCTTGAGCCCCATCGCGAGCACATGCGTCTACATGAATAATCATCTCGGAGGCTTTTCTTCCATGTACAAGACCGACCTGCGTCGTAATCGTCACGGCCAGCGCGGCAAGGATCACAAACGAAAGCACGTGGTTAAACTGGTTGTCGCCCGCGAACGTTTGCTTGATGAGCTCGCCCGTCGACTTGGCAAACATGACGGACTGCGCGCCGACGACGCCTATGCGGCCATGCCAGCTGCTTGCTTTGGATAGGTAAACGTACCCGACAAGGCGGCGTACGCGAGCGGGTGCCACTTGCGGTAGACCGCGTAGGCCTCGGACGCGGCGCCGTGCGTGCGCAGCGCGGCCTCGGATTTCGTCTTGAGGAGTGTGCTACACATGATCGCATGGGACGCTATGGTGCGAGGCAGACGAGCGTGTACAAGAAGACAATCACGAGCAGGATAAAGCTGGCGTAGAAGAGCATGTCCCAGCGCTCGTAGAGCGCAATGAGCTCGTCGAGCGTATACGACGTGCTTTCGTGCGCGCCAAAGACGCAGACGATGATGGCGCCGAGGCAGATGAAGATCGTGCCATACAAGTCGTTCCATGTCAACGCTTCCTTGAGCCAAAAGTGCGCGAAGAAGATGTTGGCCACGAGCGTAAAGCTGCCGACCGGCATGATGACGCTCTACACCACAGGATGATGTGTCGGCGACGAGGAAGCCAGAGACCTGCGCGGCGAACGAGAGCGCTGCAAAGTCGCCAATCGAGCCAACTATGACGCAGCTGATGCCAACCCACCACTGCCACAGCGCCGTGTACGGGCGGCGGTCGGCCTCGGCGAGGTGCGCCTGGAGCGTGAACGAGTACTTTTGGATGTTGAGCCCTGCAGAGGAGAAGGCGCGTGTCGACGACGATGGCAATGCTAGGACGTACAAAGTTGGAGAGCGTGGTGCCCACGAGGCAGACGCAGATGCCCGTCGCAAGGTCGTAGTTGGGCAGCCCCATCGTCAATCTCGCAGAGTGCCATCTGCCTTTTTGTTTGGCTTTTATTTTATTATTATTATTCCCGAGATACGAAGCGAATCTCAAGGACCAGGTTCAAGAACGTAATGGAATGGTCCCATCGGACGATGGAAGGACGAATCGGTTGGAGGACGCATGGATTAGGAGACAGATTACTCCATAAACTTTAGCGAGCCAACGACGAGGTTCTTGGACGGAAGCGGGCCGTGGCAGGGCACGAGCAGCGTGATCTTGCTCGTTTGGACGTTCACCGCTTTGCTACGAGGCGACAACATATGAGCCATCGCGATTCGAGAAATATGCCGAGCCGTACATTTGGACAAAGCCAGCGGCGCTGGCGGCGAGGAGCGACTGCGGGTCCATGCCAATGTCGTCGTCCTTGATGCTCGACTTGTGGATGACTGCCGCAATGCAGTGCGCCAAGTCGACAGTCTTTTCGACCGGAAGCACGCGCAGCCGCTGCAAGTCGTCGACTTGACCCACGGGCAGCATGACGTCCGAGACGGTCAAGTCTATGGCCATCGTTGTCGGAAACCGTTTGGATATGGCAGTGTACCGTGCACGCGGTAGATGTTGATGTCTTCAAACGACAGCTCGACGACGTGGGGCGAGTACTCGTAGAGCGACTGCATCGGCGCTGCGTTTGGGATTTTCTTGCCGTAAAAGTAAGCATGGCAGCCGTCCATGCGAAGCTGGTGCCGAAGCTGGTTGGAGCTACGCACCGTATAAGCACCAGGAGGATGAAGCTGGTGAACAAGGTACCGTTGGACGACGCCATCCGAGCGCGGCAGCTTGATGACGGACGTGGACGGCGACACGGCCGAGCTCAATTCGCTGAACAACCGATCCTGGCCCAGGACGATGACGAGGTCGATGCGGAACGCCTGGATGCAGTGCACGAGTGCTTGGTAGCCTTCATTGTCAATCGAGCCCGACGTGTTGACGATAATGCCCGCGGCGTTGACTACAAACTCGTGTCAACCATGGCCTGCGGCAAGAGGAAATGCGTACCTTCGGCGTCGTTGGCGAGGCGCTGGTCCACGCGCTTGGCCAACTCCGAAGCTTGAAACTTGTACAATTCTGAAATGTCCTTGAGCGTCGTGTGGCCAAAATAGTATGCCAATGGCGCCGTCAAGACAAAGTCGTCTTCAACGCTCATGCAGTTGGTCTCGAGCGGCGTCGCGGCAATCGTCCCGGGAACACTCAGCAGACCATGCGCCACGTCCAAGTCGACAAACGTCGGCTTGCGGCCCATGCGCAGCGCATAGTTGAGGAGGATGCGCGTGACGGTCGACTTGCCCGAGTCGGTCGGGCCC